GCCCGCTTCCCCTGCTCCCTGGTGGCCGCCGAGGCCGGCCCTCCGCGGTGGCTGCCGCCGGCATTGTCGCCCCGCGCCTAGTCGCCGGGGACGGCTCCAGATCCGCTGGGATCGGGGCCATACTCCGATCTGGCGGCTAGTGGGCTGGGGTTCGCCGGATCCGTCCGGATCTGGCCGGCGTGGCCTTGCCGCGTCCTGCCCGGATTGGGTGTTCGCGGTGTGGTGCTTCCTGGTGGCGGCGGTGTGGGTCGTTCTCCATGTTTTGACGGGATGTGTGCGGTGGGTGGATGCCGGGGCGGCGGCCTCGGGCGGTGTGGACGGCGTTGCCTCTTCGGCGGGCGACGGCCGTGGGTGCTGGTGGTCCGTGACTTCGGCCGTGCGGGCGGCAAGGTCTCGGTGGACGTCTACTACAGTGGGTCGGGGTGCCCCGTCACCCAGCGTGCCTGCTTCGATGAAGTCCAACACCTTCTCCGGCTACGGGCGCTCCCCTGGCCAGGTCTTTGGCCGGGTGGATGGGATGGGGGCGGGACCGGGGGAAACCCTTGGTCGTCGGCGGAGGCCACGACAATGGCGGCGCTGGGCATCGGTCCCCTTCTTGGAGGCCTTGTCGAGGTCCTCTCCCGTCTGTCACTCTGATCTTCCGTTGGGCGAAAGCTCTAGTTCCCCTTGCGGGCGACGGCGTCGTACCCTCGTCGCGCTCCTTCTTGAAGGCGTCGCCTGGGGTTCCTGGAAGCATGGTGGGCACTTTGCGGTGCGTGTGAGGTGTTTGGCGGCGGCAATGTGTGCGGCGTTTCACCTATTCTCCGCCGGTCTTCGTCATGTGGTAGCGCTCCTTCTGCTTGGAGATGGACTAGCGTAGATGGTGGCCGTCGTTTGGCGTCATGATGGCGGAGGAGCCTGCCAAGGTTGGCACCTCAGTCTGCTCTGAAGATGGACTAGTGGAAGATGGCGGCGACGACATACGTGAGTGCGTCGGACCGGATTGTGCCCCAGACCCGGTATGTGGCTCGGTCGGGGCCTCCGGCTTTAGATGTTAGGCTTAGGTGAGAGGTCTGGGTATTTGGCCCAGCTTGCACCCCCTTCATCATATGGATAGGAGTAGCAGCAGATGTTGCCCAGATGGCGGATTCAGGCATATTGTTGTACTACTTTGTAAGGTCCTCGAGAATAATCAATAAAGTGGCCGCATGCATCTCCCAGTTGCAGAGGCCGGGGGTCATCCTCCTTTTCTAAAAAAAAAACTAATCATCAAGCTCATGAACCTAGAAACGCTCGAGAGTTTCAGCTAGCTGTGGTTGCAAATTTTATGCTTATTGAGTGTCTACCAAAAATCCGCACTGACGCCTAATTTTCCTTTAAATGTAAGGGCTCCAATCTATATAGACCATGCACCTTCCTTCTTTTAAATCGTAGGAGGGCACATGCATCCACCTAGCCAAATCAAAACAGAAAGGATAAACAACATATTACCTGACAGCTAGTGGTCACAACATTTAATCAACGATAAGTCTTGTCTCTCTGACATGCCTTTCCTCTGAAATTCAAGTGCAGGGTTGTCATGGAGGGCACCAACAAGGAGCTGCTCATTCAGCTTAAGCATCCTGTGCCAATCTACATCGACCTTGGTGAGGTTTAGTCTGCAGAGGAGTGGCATTTAGTGAACAGATGATAGATCAACTAAAGACAGGCAAGAAGGAACAAAAATCTAGCAATGCAGTGCGAATTCATCTAGACTCCAGCATGCTTACCACCACATATCGACTTAATTTCTTCAGTGTGGAGGGAAGAGTGTCATCAGGAGGATTGTTAAGCAGATCTTCCTGTTGATTGCCATCATAGATAAGCTTATTCAGAGAATGTCTTGATCCAGATGAAGCAGGTGAGCAGGAAAAGGTTCTATTCCTTGTGTTTACTCCAGAAACATCTGGGAGACCAATTCTTCTCCTGCACCTTGCTAGGTTTATCTGGAGGTAATTGACTGTGCCTTTAATCTGGGAATAAATTCTTTCTCTTGAGTGGTATAGCAGGATCTTATGACCTATTTGGAAGCTGGCAAATAAATCTCACTTGCAATATTAGATATTGTGCATCCTCACCCTGTGACCTAAACTGGCCATAGTATGAAGCTCCGGGCAATCTTGCAGACAAAAAGAAGAGACACAAATGTAGCAGGGATTGGAGTCAAGGAGGCATCCTGTAAGGTGGTGCCAGGCTGGGGTAGATCAGCAACCAACTCCTGGTTGCCACTTTATGCTTTAGTTCAGAAGCTGACCTCTTTGATTTCAGTGAATGGAAATCAAATACAACTTGTGGTGCATACGTTTGAGATGAGCTCCACGTCCTATAATTTCTGCATATGTTCTTGCATGAGAAAACTGTATGTAACTTGCGTCCATGATATAGCCTTCATATATATTCTGAAAGTTTAGAAGGATCCAATCCATGCAAAATTCGATTTTCAACACAATATATTGTGTCTTGTCTCAGCAATCATGAATCATGCCATATGCTTACTGTTTGTTCATCTCCAACCGTCCAACTAATCCCTGTCTTGAGAAGCTTTAAACCTTTCAGAATACTTAGCCAGCTGTACGACATATACCCTAGGTTGAGTCTCCATGTAGAACATGTGTGTTTTGGAAAGGAACACCCATAGGAAACTCTGTTGCCTGCAGTAACCGCCATCCTTGTCTAGCTAGCATGGTAATGTTGAAGAGCTGGAGAGACAGAAGCCAAGGCATCCACTTTCTTTTAGCCTTGACATTTTTCGCCAACTAAGCCAAAAATTTAATGCTCATGCTCTTGCTGGCACCCCCAGTACGTTTCTATCATAGTGCTAAGCTGATCACAAAAGCTTTTTATTAGATCAAAAACATGGCATGGTGTAAGTCAGACATCGCTTGCGCCACCGCTTTCACCAAGGTTTCCTTTCCTGCTTTAGAGAGACTTTTCTACTTCCATCTACTTATTCTCTTACAAAGCATTTTTAATTTTCCTTAAAATACTCAAAAGTGTTAGCCTTTGATTTTCAAAGTAGACCAGCAACCACAGGTATCTATCATTCCAATCTTCTTTACCAATTCCTAGGTTCTCTGTTGTGGCCCCAAACCATCCTCATACAGTCCTCTCAAGAAAGAAGAGGAATCTTCATACAGAAAAAGAATCCTCATTATGTCATTTGCCTTCTCGGCTGAAACTGTACCTTCTGAGGAGTTCTGCTCATATACAATGTATTAACTACTCAACTATGGCTGGATCCATCACAAAATTGATACTTGGCAGGGAGCAATTTTATTTGCTCCCGATATTTTCCTTCCCTTGAAAAGAGAGACAGCAGCAGTGAAGTAGTTGAAGCTTCAAGTGAGATATTCTTTCCATCAACTTTAGACATATAATTTCCAGCCTTAGATATCTCACCTTTTTCCAATAACATTCTGATGATATTATTTAACAGACGAGAGCTAGGAGCACAACCACTCTTGTCCATTGATGAAAACATATTGTCAGCTTCTTCCACTAATCCTTCCCTTAGAAGATTTGTTATCATAACACCATAAGAAGACGCATTAGGTACCAACCCATTGGCTGATATTGCAGCAAACAAATCCTTAGCTTCTTCTCTTCCCTTAACCGCGTACATTGCATTAATCATAGTATTGAATATTCCAACATCCAACTTCACATTCATTGCACCTAATTTCTCGAACAAGACAATTGCTTCATCAACGCAATTGTTTCTACAAAGTCCTCCAAGAATTATAGCACATATGGAAATGTTCACTGTTGTTTCACTTTCAATCATCTCATTGAACATTTTCTTCGCAGAAGAAGTTCTGCCAGCACGAAACAACCCATGAAGTATGGCACCATATGTAGCAGTTGTAGGTTTAATTTTGTTAGGCATCATTTCTCTGAATAGGGTCAACCCATCATCAATCCTTCCCTTTCTAGAATAGCCATCAATAAGTGTATTGTATGTGACAACATTGGGCTCAATGCCAGCTGATACCATGGCATCAAGTACTCCGAATGCTTTATCCATCTTCCCGGCTAAACAATATCCGTCAATCAGTGAATTAAATGTAATAACGTCAGGCCTCTCACCAATGTTTATAGCCAAGTCGAAGATATCGTGTGCATCTGTAACCCTTCCTTCCTTGCATAGACTGTTTATTACTGAGTTGAAGAACACCATATTTGGACGAGGAATACCTTTGTTCATCATTTCAGAAACCAAGGCCTTTGCTTTCACCAAATCACCATGTGTACAAAAGCCCTGAATTAGAGAGCGATAAACAACCTTGTTCGGTTGTAAGCCCATTGCAATCATCTCATTTAGTTTGTCCATTGCATCAGACAGCCTGCCCATGCTGCAAAGTGCAGCTGTTACAATTGCATAGGTGAATACATTAGGACTCACTCCTTGTTCTCGCATTTTGGTAAAGATGAGCATAGCTTCATCTATCATTCCACATTTAGCATATCCATCAATTAATATGGTGAAAACTTTGCAGTTGGCTACAATACCATTGTCTTCCATTGAATTAAAGAGATTGATCATATCGGTGAGGCATCCTTCGGTAGCATACCCGTGAAGAAGAGTAGAGTACACGACAATATCAGGTTTGAGGCCCTTGGCGGTCATGGAGTCAAAAAATTCTGCAGCTTCTTTGCTTCTTCCATGCTTGCATAGGGAGTACATGAATGAGTTCCAAGTATACATATTTGGTCGAACGCCATTATTAACCATCTGCTGAAGGACCAGCTTTGCCTTGTCCATTGCCCTGACCTTGCACAAGGCATCAATAACCGAGCTATATGTCACCACATCAGGCACAATCCCTTGCTGCATCATCTCATGGAACAGATCGCATGCCTTGCTTACTTCCCCTTCCTTAAAGAAGCCGTGTATGATTATGCTATATGCCACCACATTGAGGGAGCCGGCACCTCGTTCTTTCCTCACCATCTGGAGCAGGTCGAGCGCTTGCTGGCTCCTGCTATTGTCACATAAGCTCTTAAGTACTATGGAGTATGAGATGGCATCAGGCACACAACTGAACTCGGACATCCTATGAAGCAGCATGTTGACAGCCTCATCTGTCCGTCTTGCATGGCAGAGGCACTTGAGTAGGATGCTGGCGACGATCAGGTTTGCCTTGAGGCCCGCCCTCAGGAAGCGGCCGAAGAAGGCAAGGCCTAGGTCCGGGCGGCGTGCACGGCAGCAGCTGTCCATGAGGATGTTGTAGGTGCGGACTGTGGGCGGCGCCACCCGTGGTCCTGCTTCTTCTCGGCAAACACGGTTGAAGAGGCCGAGAGCAAGGGAGGGTCCATCTCTGAGAGCAGCGGAGGACGGAGCACGGGCGAGCGCGGCAAGGAAGCCGTTGAGGGAGCGCTCGGGGACGGGGTTGGCCTGCAGTAGCAATTCGTCGAACAGGTGGTGTGCGTCTTCAGGGCTGAGCGTCCCGGCGCGGACGCGCTCCGTGGCTGCGGCAAAGGCGGGTCGGGGGGTCCCAGCGGCGTGAAGGCGGCGAGGTGAAGGAGGAGTAGCGGCGGCGGAGGTGCGGCATGGGCGTGGTGAAGCAGAGGCGAGCCGTGGGGCGGGCACGGCCTTCGTGTTCGTGCCGGTGGAGTAGGAGTGGCGCGAGCGCGACTGAGAAGAGTCTCAGCTATACCAAATGGAAAACGGGTAAAATGGGCTCCCTCGCTCCGGCCTGGTTCAGAAATGGCAGTCTGTTTGGATTCAGGCCTGGTCCAACGACAGAACGGCTGCCTCCGGTCAAGCCTATGTCTCGTTTCTTTTAAGGGTTTTTATCGTTGTATAACACTACTCAGTTTTGCCACTAAAAAATTTAACTGCTCAAAAATGTCATTGTTCTGTTGGACACAACCTCAAAAAGACCATTTTTCATCGTAGTCGTCAGGTCAATGGACGTTGACCGAAGGTAGATGACCAAAATACCCTTATCCCATTTGTCAACTCCCCTTTCTCTCTCTTTTGACTTGTGGGCCCATCTGACAGGGGCGCATGAAAAGAGAAAATGAAAATTGGCAGTTCGGGGCTTCGAACCCAAAACCACGGCCTGCACGGCACGAGAACGAACCAGCTGAGCTAGAGAACAATTCTAATGTGAAAGGAGATACATCCGTTATATCGTGCAGATGGAGACACTACTAGAAAAACCGCTACTAATGGCGCACCTAATTTGGCCATTAATGGCGCATCACTGGTGCGCCATTACTAGCACGCCATTAGTAATTTTTACTAATGGCGCACCACTGGTGCGCCATTAGTATAGGCCACGGTGCGCCATTAGTATGCCTTCCAGGGGCCATGTATACCTAGGTGATTTGGCATACTAATGGCGCACGACAACGGGATGCGCCATTAGTAACTTCGGCATACTAATGGCGCACTATTTAGTGATGCGCCATTTTGAATCTAGATCTGGATCGTGATTTTTTGCCCATTTTTTGCTCGTTTTTTTTGCTTGTTTTTTGGCACGACATTATTTCAAATTTTGTTCCTGTTTTTGGATCTTGTACGTTCTTTTGCCGTGGTCTTTTGCCGGAGAGGAGTTCGCCGGAGAGGAGTTCGCCGGAGAGGAGGAGGAGGTTACCGGAGAGGAGAAGTATCATGGAGGAGAGAAGGGAAGATGGAGTGGAGGAGAGGAGGAGATGGAGTGTAGGAGAGATAAGGAGGAGAGGACCACGACCAGCCATATATACGGCATACTAATGGCGCACCGCGGGCAGGTGCGCCATTAGTAATTTTTTTATTTATTTTATTTATTTTGAATTTTGAAGGCGGGAAGATACTAATGGCGCACCATGGGCAGGTGCGTCATTGGTAATTTTTTTTAATTTTTTTGACTTATTTTGAATTTTGAAGGCGGGAAGATACTAATGGCGCACCATGGGCAGTTGCGCCATTAGTAATTTTTTTTAATTTTTTTGACTTATTTTGAATTTTGAAGGAGGGAAGATACTAATGGCGCACCATGGGCAGGTGCGCCATTAGTAAGTTTGAATTTTTTTTTTAATTTTTTTGCCTCTCCAGATCTTAAAAGCCCCGTATCTTTTTTCTGTTAGGTTTTTGAGGATTTTGAAAATGTTTAACGGGGTTTGGATGTAACTTTTCGAGTAGATGATTTTTCATATAAAAAACTTTTTCATCCGAGTTAGTATGCAAAAGTTATGCCCATTTTTACAAATTCTCGCGAGATTTTGCAAATGAAGTCAAAATTCATATTTGCAAATTTTCCCAATAACTAGGCCACATATCACATGGGAAACTTAGTTTCTTTTATTTTTTTGACATTTTCATCATTTTCTTTTATTGTTTTTAAAACTGAAAAGGTGATCTGGGGGGGTGCATTCGGTGGAAGTGGTGGCCAAGTTACTAATGGCGCACCGTGGCATGGTGCGCCATTAGTAGTTTTGAAAAAAATTCAAAAAAAAGTTTTAATTTTTTTTTACTAATGGCGCACCGTGGGAGTGGTACGCCATTACTAGTTCAACTAGTAATGGCGCACCACTCCCACGGTGCGCCATTAGTAGTTTTGAACAAAATTTAAAAAAAAATATTTTTACTAATGGCGCACCGTGGATGTGGTGCGCCATTAGTATTTGGACACTAATGGCGCACTAACACATGGTGCGCCATTAATATATAGTAATGGCGCACCACATGTCTGGTGCGCCATTAGTGTCAATTCCATCTATAGCCCTTTTTCTAGTAGTGAGAGGCAGCCGTGAAGCTAGCGTAGGAGCAATGCACGCGCAGGGTTTTGAACGTGCCGCTGCATCTACGTACTACATGCGGCGTCAGAAACTACAGCTGGTTGGCTAAAGCACTCTCGTAACCGAAAGGGGCCTGCGGACTGCAGTGCAGGTGATATACAGTACTGTACAGTGGATGATTCGGAAATAAACGTGACATGACTGACAACAGGTGCTTGTGGCCACCACGCAGCTGTTTTTTTCTGAGAGCTGATGTAACAGAGTCGCCATCTGCATGGACCATGGATGGCTCATGCTGTTCAGGCCTCACCCAGGCATGCACGGGACGGATGGTACAAACCATGTGAGTATCTCCTTTCACATTAGAAAATTTCTGTCGCTCAGCTGGTTCGCTCTCGCGCCGTGCAGGCCGTGGTTTTGGGTTCGAAGCCCCAAACTGCCAATTTTCATTTTCTCTTTTCTGCGCCCCTCTTGGGCCCACAAGTCAAAAAGAGAGAGAAAGGAGAGTTGACAAATGGATAAGGGTATTTTCGTCATCTATCTTTGGTCAACGTCCATTGACCTGACGACCACGGTGAAAAATGGTCTTTTTGAGGTTGTGTCCAACAGGACAATGGCATTTTTGAGTAGTTAAAATTTTTAGTGGCAAAACTGAGTAGTGTTATACAACCGGTGACAAAACTGATAAAATCCCTTCTTTTAATACGCTCGGGAATACAAATAAAGTTAAAATAGAGAGACACACATGGCGGCTAAAAGGTAAACTAGTCGTTGCTTTTGAAACTTGATGAGCTTCAAGATTCATCTCCAGTTTCTCATGAATGAAATCAACCGAAATGAAGTCATGCATCCTATGACTCGCTTCTAGCGACTAGGTTGCGCTCAATTCAAGCGCCTCC